ATATATATATATATATATATATATATATATAGGGCTGTTTATGAGAATATACCCGCAACAATTTCCCGAGCTCTTCGAACTCTTCCGGCCGTCGCCGCTTTTGCTGCGCTGCCGGAGGCCACTGCGTCGAGATGCGAAATAGTCTAATTCCGCTCAAACACTATGAAGATTGATTGGGATCTGATCTACGCCTTTTCTCATTCTCCCCATTGTTTTCAGCGTTATGATCAGATTTTTGCGGCTCAGGGGACCCAAATTTTGGCCAGTCTTCTCGTTTGTCCAACGAAACACTTCTTCGGCTCACCTCCGTCGGCGTAGCTCTCTGTCGAGCGCCGCATTATATGCTGTAGAAGGAGAGGATTATATTGGCCGGTCACCGGTGTTCGATTCTTATGCTTATGCACGAGCATTTCAGGAATGCATTGCCGAAGTCGATCATGTTAGAGGAAGAGCTGTTCACTGTCATTCCCTGAAACATGGCGGCTGTTTGGATTTGTTCTGCCTAAATATCTTGCTGAACATGTATGCAAAATTTGATATTGTAGACGATGCGTGTCTATTGTTTGCAGAAATGCCCGAAAGAAATATGGTTTCTTTCGTCACCTTAATTCAGGCTTATGCCAAGTGCGGCAAGCTCATTGAAGCAGTGCAGCTTTTTCACAGGCTTCATAGAGAAGGCCACCAACTTAACCAGTTCGTGTTCACCACAGTTTTAAAGCTATTTGTTGTTATGGAGCTGCCAGAGCTTGGTCGTCATGTGCACGCCTGCATTTGTAGGCTTGGTCATGAGTCAAATGCGTATGTTGGTGCCGCTTTACTTGGTACTTATTCGCTTTGTGGTTATGTCGATGAGGCAAGAAAGGTTTTTGATGGGATTGTCGAAAAAGACATTGTTGCTTGGACAGGGATGATTTCTTGCTATGCTGATAATGATTGTGCTGAGGATGCCTTGCAACTATTCTCTAGGATGACCATTTCTGGCTTGAGACCAAACAACATCACGCTTACTAGCCTGATCAAGGCATCTGTCTCCCTTTCATCATTAACATTGGGAAAGAGTATACATGGTTGTTCAATTAAAACTTGCTATGAGTTGGACCGTTATGTGGGTGGTTCACTGCTTGATGTGTATGCAAAATATGGGGACATCAAGGATGCTCGTGCAATTTTTGAGGCAGTTCCCCAGAATGATGTGATCCTTTGGAGTTTTATGATTGCATGTTATGCACAAATTGATCAAAATGAAGAGGCATTGGTGATTTTCATGCGGATGATGAGGGTCCCAGTAGAGCCCAATGAATACAGTTTTTCTAGTGTTTTACAAGCTTGTGCAAACAGTAGAGGCTTGGACATGGGAAGGCAAGTCCATGGCCGTGTTGTTAAGATAGGTCTTGATACAGAGATTTTTGTTGCAAATCCTCTAATTAATCTTTATGCTAAGTGTGGGAATATGGATGCATCAATGGTTATTTTCTCAGACTTGTCCAATAGCAATGATGTGAGTTGGAACACACTCATTGTAGGTTATATGCAACTAGGCTTTGGTGAGGAGGCATTGAAACTCTTTAGTCAGATGCATGTTGCTCAAGTACCAAAATCTCAAGTCACCTACTCTAGTGCACTTCAAGCTTGTGTGAGCATAGCTGCCATCGAGCAGGCAAGGCAGGTTCATTCATTGATTGCAAAGACCACACTAAGTGACGATGCTGTTGTTAGTAATTCTCTAATAGATACATATGCCAAATGTGGGAGCATCAAAGATGCTCACAAGGTCTTTGATGTAATGAAGGAATGTGATTTGATATCTTGGAATGCTTTGATCTGTGGATATGCACTACATGGCTTAGGTACCAATGCCTTAGGCCTGTTCAAAAAGATGAGGGACAACAAGGTTGAGCCCAATGGTGTGACTTTCGTCGGTGTCTTATCAGCATGCAGTAATGTGGGTTTAGTGGACCAAGGTCTGTCTTATTTTAACTCTATGGCTGAGGATTATGGCATTGTGCCAAGTATGGAACATTATACTTGCATGGCCAGCCTTTTAGGGCGTTCTGGTCGTCTGAATGAAGCGAAGGAATTTATTGACCGGATGACAGTAAAACCTAGTGTTATGGTCTGGCGTGCACTACTTGGTGGTTGTTTGATTCACAAAAATATTGAGCTAGGGAACCTGTGTGCGGAAAGGATACTTGAGATGGAACCTCAGGATGAGACAACATATGTCTTAATGTCAAACTTGTATGCTGCAGGAAAAAGTTGGGATCATGTGGCTCTTGTCAGGAAATCCATGAGAGCCAAAGGAGTGAAAAAGGAACCTGGTCGTAGCTGGATTGAGTTTCATGGTGAAATTCACTCCTTTTGCATGGGAGATTACTCACATCCTGACACTAGGGCGATCAATGCTATGCTAGAATGGTTACATATTAAAGTTAACAGAGCAGGTTATGTTCCGGACGTTAATGTGGTATTGCATGATATTGATGATGATAAAAAAGAACGAATTGTATGGGTGCATAGTGAGAGGTTGGCCTTGGCATTTGCGGTTATAAGACTTCCACCTGGAAGCCCAATTTGTATAATCAAGAATCTCCGTTTCTGCCAAGATTGTCATGCTGCATTCAAAGTAATATCTAAAGTCATTCAGCGGGATATCACTGTGAGAGATATTAATCGCTTTCATCATTTTGAAGATGGAACTTGTTCCTGTGGTGATTATTGGTGATGCTTATGTGCCTGGAAGAGGCTAGCAATTGCAGACGAGAAAAGAAAATTCCACATGTCAGCAAATATAAGGGGAAAATGTGGAATGTGCACTTTCATGATATGTTGCTTTTACATATCAAAATTTCCTATCAGAAAGGATGCTTGTAGTTGAGAGTGCATGTGAATTGCATTAGAATAAACAAGAACTTTTCGCTTGATTTGTTATGGTAAGAACATTACTGTGTGATGTGTATATTTTACCCTAGTTTATGTTATCATTATTGTGTAAACTTTCTCTGTAAACCCCCACCATTAGAAAGTCCTTTTTGGCTTAAAAACTGCTGCTCATAATACTTCTCTTTTCTCTCTCTTTGTTAGGTCCAACTCTAAACATGGATCACCAGAGTGGCATATTTCTTCAGAGATTCTTCCTCGGTGACTTATTAACTTGCACCACTATAGGTATGCCAGTTTTACCTTTTTGTCATTTGATTTTATGTAGCATATCCTTTTTTTTTCCACATATGCTTTTTCTGCCTTCCATCTTCATCCCTCCTCTCTTTTTTGCATGTATGTGAAAGGTGGGCATTCTTCATCTCATTTTATTGATTCTTCACCTATGTTTTCCTCTTGAGCTGTGAATTCACTAGAGATACATCATATCACTATCAGTGGATATCCAATACAGGGAATATATGAATTTTCTTCCATAACAAAAAGGCTTTTTTATCAACCTTGATGCCTGCTTTCTGTTACTTCTGTTGAAAAATAGTCATAGGCTTTATTAATGTTGCATATGTATACTTGGGAATATTCTTATTTAGTCATCAAACACAAATCTTGCTAACATTACATTTATGCAAGCTAAATGTTCCCCGATGGATTCTTCCTTTTCATGTTCTCTTCCAGTTTTGATTCATAAACCTATGCATGCCTTACAGGACTTATTACAAGTTGATTTATACTGTGAGTACCATATTTCTATTTAACTAAATCTGGTCCATACTAGCCCATTAAGCTTTTTATGACTATCAAGAAAAATCAAAGGTGGAAAAGGGAAAGAAAGAACTGAAGCCTGAGTAGTGTCCTTCATCCACTATGAGTCCAAACTATATATCGTTGAGTTCATCATGCTTACTGTTGTATGAATTATGGAATTAAGTTATCATGGCAAATGCACCTCATAGAAGATCAGAATCATGCCAGAAGGAAATTTCGAGTGGTATAGCTTAGCCTCTTTCAACTGAGTGAATTTTGCAGTTTTGTAATGATAGCTTTATGAAGGATTCTTGATATTACTAAAGAAAAACAATAAAAGCAGAAATTTTCTAGAACTTTCGGTCATCTATTTTCTTGGAATTAAGTAATGCTGAATGCTTTTTTTATACTTATCTGGAAGCATAAAGAGGTTTTCATGACCACAGTCCATTTCCATTTACTTCCTGCCCCAAAGCAACGGTAAATTATTTCCTTCATTGGTGGTTCATTAATTATTTTTTCCTTCATGGTATATCTTCTGCGAGAAATATTGATAAAGTGCCATTTTTGATACAAAACTAGTAGGTTGCAAATGGCCTCATGCTGTGCCAAACAAATGAAGAGTTAGTAAGCTGATTTGATAAACTGCCATGAAGAGAACACTGGACCTTGTTCTTTCCCTCTTGCACTTCTATTTGGTATACATTTCAAAGATGTATCTTAGTTGACATTTATGAATTCCAGCAATCTTTACTCTATTCCTTGGATAAAAGAATTTGTTCTAGTTGTTGCAGCTGCAAGTAAAGTCACGTTGAATTAATCAAGTATTTATTTTGTAATGTGTGTCTATTAGTAACTTGTGACTTTGCTTTTTCAACTTCTAAGTAGGCCTTCACTGTTGAAGGCTGCAGAGGAAAATTACATGTGAAGTCAGTATGTCACAACTGTCTAGATGTAAAACCTTGTTTAGGTCATGGAACCACAAAAAAACTGTCACCCGATATGTGTGTTTGAACCTTTTTTCTCTCATTCTTTGACATTTCTTTCTTCTCTCTTTAGAAGGGAGCCACCTACAGAAACACTTTCGTATCAAAAAGTTTGTCCAGCCCTCAGTTCTGAGGAGTTGCGATTGTCATCATAAAGGTGTCAAGAACTAATGTAACCGTTAAAATCAACTGCTTCGCAGATGTTATTGCCTATGCATAGGTATTGCTTGTCTTGGTAAGCAGAGGCCACTGTTAATACCGTGTTAATTCTATTTATGTGTTCTTATATGTCAACAGAAGCAGCCTTAATGCTTTGAACCACTCCCAAGAGGCCCAGATGGTTCGACATCCCAACTGATGACCTATAGTTGCTACAGTTGTTTCTGCTACCACATCCAGCAACAATTCGGCAAAATGAGCACACCATTATAAGAAAGCAAGCCATTTGGAGGAATCAGACATGAAGAAACATGGAGCATGGTCATCTGCAAAGACAGGTTGCCTATGTAATCAGAAAATCACATGCCATCAGAGTAGCATTCCATGGCCTCCCAGAGCAGCATGACCCCTCGAAAGCTCAAGTGTTTATGTCCTGTCTATGAGTCTCCTTGTGGATTTATGCATCACAATTTAGTTTGCGATCATTTAAGATGGTAAGAAGTACGAGGGATGACACATTTAAACGTTTAGCAGTTGATGATTTGTAAAATTTATGATATAAGTTCTTTCTTCTGTACCATAAACATCTTCTTAGCAGTAAATTGACACTGCCAAGCTTCCTTCAAGAGACTCATTGCTCAATTGGTACCTATATTTCCACTTTGTGAAGGAAATGAATTATTATCTGGATTGCAGAAAAGATCAAGAATATGAAATGTGGAGATAATTATACTGGCTTTTGTGCTCCAAATCCTTCTCCCTTTGGCAACTGGCTTATATTGAATCATACCAGTGCATCATTTTCTTAAGCAATCACCAGGCCATGCAACCTTTGCATCTGTGGATATGAGAGGCACTGTTTCATTACTGGTGGAATCTTTCTCCAAACATATTGGACAATGCTGGTTCTTGTCATGGATATAGCATGCTGCAGACCGCACTAGTAACTCTTACAGACAGAGTAGAAAAGATGGTGATGATATTTGAAGGCTCCTAAGAGGAACGGATTCAAAGTGGTGAAGACAAAAGAACAAGGTCAATTTGTTCCAACTATTATTTTTTGGTGTCTTCATTATTCATTTTTATCGGATGACACCTCTTTTTTTTCTTTTCCTTTTTCAAATTTGAACAAAAATACTCTCATTCTTTAGATTAAATTATATTGAAATTTATATAAAATTTATGGTTTGATTTTCTTTTTTATTAATCTGGTTCGGTTCTATCAATTCACCTCCTTCTCATTCCCTTTTACCATCTCTTCCTTTTTCTTCGTCGCCTTTTCTTTCTCTTTGTTTTAGTCTCGTCTCCTCTCACTTCGCTCTCCTTCTTCTCTTTTGCTTTCTTCTACTCTTCTACTATTTCTAATCCCTTGCCTCATCCTCTTCCTTATAGTTTGCTCAAAAGAGTCATTACATTTGAGTTATACTCATAACATATTAAAAGATATATTAATTTATATATAAAATTATCTTAAATTTATCATAAAACTAAAAACTATAAGGAATTATCCTCAACAAAATATTAATTTTTATATAAAATTATTATGAATTACTTAGAAGAGTTGTTACACTTGATTTACATTCATTCATAAAATATATTAATTATTATCTAAAATTATTTTAAATTCACCATAAAACGAATCACAAAAAATTTATATTTTATATTTTCTATTTCCTATGTTGACATACCTACACTTGAGATTGAACTAAGTTAGACTCCATCACCTAACCTATTTTAAATTTAGTAATATATATTTTTTAGATAATTTTAATAAAAAATACTATTTTTTATTTAATGATGAATTCAAGATAATTTTAAATTAATATATTTTTTAATAGATTCTATGATTAAGTATAACTCAGAGTACAACTTAATTATAATCCAAGTACAATTCAAGTATAATAAAAAAATTTAAATAAATTATGAGTAATAGAAAATAAAGAAAGTAATGAAGGAGTAAAAAACAAAAAGGAGAAGGAAGGATAAGAAGACGAGGTAGAATGAGAAGTGATAAAAAAGGAAGGAAGCCGAGTGAGAAAGAAAGAGGACGAAAGAGATGGAGATGGAGGTGAAAACGGAGGAGGAGGAGGAGGGTTGATCCGAACAGATTTATTGATCTAAACTTATTTATGGGTTTAAGAATATTTCAAAATGAGAATAAAATTGATGTTTATAAGATAAAAATGAATAGCGAAAATGCCATACGGTAAAAAGAAAGGAAAAAAAAGAGAACAGTGGGGATGCTAATTGATACTTTGGCCCAGGAACAAACGCCATGTGGGGGATCTGTCACTCTTTTATCTGTTCCGAGGACAGCCCGCCCCTGCAGCAGTACGCCATGCCACATTAAGTCCATCGTCAGCTTCTCTCCCTCATCATCCTCCCGACGCCCTGCACCATGCCGCCGTGCTCCCTCCTCGCCGCCAATACCGGCGCAGTCTAACATCAGTCCCAGGCTCCAACAGTGGACGTGCACAAGGATCCCACCCCTCGTATCATTCGATCTTATCCTTGGTCCTCCAGAGTAACAGGAACAGTGGAGAGGGACAGTGCGTGAACCATGGTCGTCGGCCTCTTTGTGGTACTCGAAAGCTGACACCAAGTGTGCCTTTTCTTTTACCTTGGAGGGACCTCCTCCGGGAAACGTGCATATCAACAAACACTTTGTACCCTATTCCTTATGATTATGAGTGCATGGATTTCTCGAGCAATTATGAAGCAGCAGAAGACCCACAATGAGCTGGAGGCATACTACGGAGGCAGCAACGAGTCGACAGGACCTTTAAATGGGTGCATCTCTTTCTTCAGAATTCAACATCTTAAAAGGAAAACCGTAAAAAGGAGGGTTATTATTATTATTATTATTTTAACATAAGAGATAATAATTTAAATCATAAAAATATTCTTTAAAAAATTTTAAAAATAAAACTATATACATTGATCATCCCGTACTGATGAGAGTCTCGTGCATTGAATATATATTTTTAAAATAATTATAAGGAACACAAATTGCTGCTGTTAAAATGGAATATAAGTTGAGATAACAATGTTTAATGATCAGGATTAATCGACATTTTTTAGATCAAAATGTAAGTTTTTCTCTTTTGAAATGAATACCACTGTAGAGATTCTCTCATTTGTAATATACATAATGCAATCTTGTTTGTTTGTTGGTACGTATATATATATTTTCAGATCAACTATTTGATTTTGGATAGCTTCATTCACCGCAAAATCTCTATGTTTATTTGTTAAATCATGAGAAATCTTGTGACTGTCCAATCACTACAAAGCAGGAATGATTTTTATTACTTGACATTTATTTATAAATGATGGTTGATTAATGATATTGTTTCCTGTTGTTAAATGATATCTTTTCCATGAAAGTGCAATAAGTAATCGTCACGAAGACCATCAAAGAATTAATTGTTTTAGATGAGTTCATATGATTTTGTGAATTGAGCCTCAAAGAACACCTCTTAGATTAAACATATTTAACGATGCCCTCAATAAGGGAGTCGAGGTCTCGTGGATCGAGGTCTCGTGGACCCTCTTGTAACCTTAAGAGGATGTAATCTTAACATGATAGTTAACCAATGAGAGTTTTTACTGTTAGTGAGACTGTTACATGTTGGATCGAAGGCATATATTCCTTATATCAATGTATATCCGTTATCCTAGTTATAATATGTTAAACACCTTCACAAAAAAATTATAATTCTATAAAAAATATAATTAAGAAACAAAAACTAAAAAAAAAAAAATTAATTTATTATCCTCTATGAGATTTCAAATCAGTAATCTTATCATTTAGGTATTTTCATAAAAAAATATTGTGATCGAGACTCAAAAAAATAGAGAAAAAAAAAAAACACCATTGGATATATAAGTTTGGAGTTTCTTTACGAGGACTGATCCTAATATCCTCGCAGAATTTTGAAAAAGCAGGCTGCATTGTCAAACCGGAAAGTGGATCACAAACTTTCCACAGGACAGTGAAGTGAATCCAAGCAAAAAGTAGTACAGTGGACAGAGCTTTCGAGCTCGTGAAGGAGAAGAGGTGATAGCAATGATGTAAGAATTTATCTCTCTCTCTCTCTCTCTCTCTCTCGATCTCGGTGTAAGACTGTCAGATAACGAAGAAGAAAGATACCAGTAAACTAGCAATACGATATTATTTATGAGAACATATGCAAGCTAGTTAACATGACAAATTGTCTCCAGATATGTGCATCACTTCACTGGCCAAATAGCCAACATCGCCTCCTCATTTTTGAGTCTCTTCTCTGCCTTGCCCTTGCTCTCTCTCTGCCTTCTCTCCTTCAGCACAGTGCAGTCTTGTAGAGAGACACTGTTTCACATGGGTCTTGAAATGATACTGCGACTGCAGAAGCCGATGCAAGAACATTGAGTGCTTCTGTCTGTGTCTGCAGATGTGTTGTCCTTCGTCCATGTACATGCTGTGGTAAGAATGCACGATAAGAGAAGATTAATCTCTTCGGAATCCAACTAGGATGCAAATAATAATTCCATCAACGATATCCAAGTTTGTGACTCACCATTTATTCTCTACTCAAAAGAGTACATGTTGGTGAACCCTATTTGATCGACGAACCCTTGTGTTTGTTCACCCATTTGCAGTGCACTGCCTTCATCCTGTAAAATATCATCATGTCCAGGATTTGCTACCTGCGTTGTGTTCTTGATTCGGATAAAGCTGAGTAAGAGACCAAACCTGAGAGAAGGTTGTGGTTCCACTGTCAAAAGCTTTGGCTTGAAGATGATTCATCTGGTCTACATAGGACAATGGTTGTGGTATGCTTCTCGTGATCACTTTCTGAGATTTCAGATGCCACAAGCACATTAACATCACCCCGATACACTGATGATAGCCAAACAAACACAAGAGAAGTATGAGGTTTGCAGATCACCTGTGGCTGGTTTATGCAATCGGCAAAACCGACGTCGAAATCGTATAATACGGGGCTCAAAGAAGCAATCTTCATGGAGAGAAACTGGACAAAACCTAATAGATTTAGCAATTGCAGAACAAGAGGGGTGCCCATCAACAACACATCATTTGCAGTTTACCTCAACTTGGTTCTGCAAGCACTGCACATAGTTAATTATCTCATCCAGGATCAGTGCTTTACCGGTGACCTTGTCACAGCCAGGAACAAGACCTTGCAGCATCTTCATCCTTTCACTAATCTTCTTCCTTCTCACCTGAAACCATGACATGGTTTGAAGCTTTGTGATTATGGAGGTCTGAAGCTATGGCGTCAAGTGTCATATAGTGGTAGTAGTAGTACCCTTTCCGAGAGGCTGTGGTTGTCCGTTGCTTGACCTCTCCTTGCCCTCACATGAACGTATCCATCAGAGGAGCTCCTCAGTTCCTCTGTTATCTTTAACCCACCTTTAGGCCTCTTCTGTTTCTTGCTCTTGCCATCCCTGATCCCCTAGCAACAGAAAGAGAGGAAACAAGGTGTTGAGGAAGCAAAACAGCTAAGCTACCAACAGTTCAACTTGATGATGTTCTTACCACGGATTCACCAGTGACCAAACTAGCCTCGTCTTTGGTCTTTCTTTTATGATCCACACGGCCATGTTGGTTCTGGTTCTGGACCTTTTTAGATTCATGGAGTTCACTCGACAATGGCGAACTAACTATGACTCCATCAGCCGAGGGAGCATCTGTACCAGTATCAAGGGAGCTGCAGCTATCGAAGTCTGTGACAGCAGCTGCTGCTGCTGCCACTGCGACTTGCTGCTGCGGCATGAGGAGGAGCATCTCAGCCGTGGTCTTTGAAACGCAAGCAGAGTCCCAATGCGAGGAAGCCATAATGCAGTGACAGAATCGATGTCAACAGCTGGAAGAAGAAGAAGAAGA